GGGGCTCTGTCACCCCAGAGTGAGCAGCTCAAATTAATCCCTGCCTTGTCCTTGAGGATGGGCAGAGCCCTCCTGCACAGAGGGGCTCTGTCACCCTTTTGAGGAGCTGAAATTCACCCTTGCCTTGTGCCAAGGATGGGCAAAATCCTCCTGCACAGTGGGGCTCCATCCCCCAGAGTGAGGGGCTGAAATTCATTCCTGCCTTGTGCTGGGGATGAGCAGAGTTCTCCTGCTCAGGGCTCCATCACCCCAGAGTGAGGGGCTCCCATTCAGCCCTGCTTTGTGCCAAGGACAGACAGAGCCCTCGTGCTCAGGGCTCCATCCCCCAGAGTGCAGCCAGCAGCAGCAGGGAGCTGGCACAGGCTGGGCAGGAGGAGCCCTGAGCAGCTCCAAACTCCTCTAAAAGAGAACTGAAGAAGAGAGCGAGATGATAAAAGAGGTTTTGTGCTGCGCTGGCAGAGGAGCAGAATTGATGATGTGATGAGTCAGTTCCCTCTCCAGCATTAACAATCTCCACATCCCTGTTCCAAAAGCAGCCTCTGTTCGAGCTCCCTGGCTCCAGGATCATCCCTGGGACAAGGATCTGCCTTCTCTCAAATGTGACTCTTCCTCTGGGACCACGACAAATGGTTCCAGGGCTGAGGGGCTGCCTGGCCTCTGGGCAGGACAGAATTCTGTGGCAAAGTACATCCCATGTGAATGATCCTATTTACAGCACGAATTTCAGCCCAGTCCAGCTTGCCCTACCCAGAAATATTAGGAGAAGTGAACTTGAAAACTGATCCACTTCCACATGCAGATTGGAGCTTTGCAGGATTCCTTTGTTTTTGGGGTTTTTTTGGAAGTCCTTAGCCCTGGGAGCACCCCCTGCACTGCCACCCAAGCACTCCCTGCTGCAGGATGTGCCCATCACACCAATGACACTCTGTCTCTTGGCAAAGATGTGCCAAAGGAGGCCTGACTCACAGACCTGCTCACCAACAGCACTGAAATTCCCCTGGAAGTGTCCACAGAAGCAGAGGGAGGAGATAACCAACCCTCTCTCTGGATTAGCTCTCTCTGGACAGTGAAAACCTGGAATATCCCTGCAGCAGGGTGTGAGCCTGCCATAACAGAGAGCCTCAGCAGCATTAGTTTTACTCATTTTGTCCTTTTCTCTAAAACAAAATAATCTCAGGATGGCAATGCCATTAAAATAGAGAAGGTGGAAATAAGATTCTTGCTAAGAAACCACTCACCAGCATGGCCACAGATAAAAGATCAGCTCTGCTTCATGACTCATCTCTGAATCTACAGTGAGTTAAATACTCAAGTACTTTGAATTTTATGTGGTCACAATAAATAGCACCAGGCAATTGAATTCACATCCTCAATGTGCAGCACTTGGTTGAGGGGAGCTCTCCACCTCTCCATCTGCTCTCTCTTCCCCGCTTCTCTTATTCCTGCAGCATCTTGCATTTCTACCTCCTCTTTCTCCCAGAAGATCGCAGAACCCTGGAAAGCACTCCCAGCTCTGCAGAACCACTGGGAAAGAACTGAGGAAATGGTCCATGAATCTCTACAGGAGCAGCTTTTGAACTCTTTACACTCTCACCTGCAGGCTTGGGCACTGAGGCAGGGTCCCAGGGCAGCACAGTCCATGCTGGTCCTTCCTCCAGCAGGGAACACGCTGGCTTCACTAAATAATAACAATAAATAAAATAAATAAATAACAACAGCCTCTGGTCTAAGTGAGCACAATCCCTGCTGGAGCCCTGCACACACAGCCCTGAGCCCTGCACAAAGGCTCCCATTCTGCCCCAGCCCTGCCCTGCAGACAGAGCTGGGGCTGCTGCAGCCCAGAGAGCCCTCACAGGAACCCAGGGGCAGGCTGGGCTGGAAAAGGGCTGGGGCACTGCCCACGGATGGCCCAGCACATCCCAGAACCTGGGCAGGGTGGCTTTACTGATCCCAGTGCCTGCTGACCCTGGAACACAAGGAACAACCATGCTTTCAGTGGAGGAACCTCAGCGAGCATCCAGCTCCTCCAGAGCTGCTCCTCAGCCTTCCTGCTGCTGCCAGAAAGAGTTTCAGTGCTGAACCCAAAGCTTCCCTTTGTTGTGCAGCTCTGAATGCACTGGGGCTGCCCCAGCCAGGAGATCCCTCCCTGCAGCACCAGCAGCTCTCACCTGGTCCCTTTAGGACACACAGGTCCCTCCCTGCAACACCAGCAGCTCTCACCTGGCTCCTCCAGGACACAGAGCCCCCTCTGGCTCAGCAGCTGCCCCATTCCCCCCTCGTGCCCAGGTGTGCACCCCCATGGCAGCACCTGCAGCACTCCCAGCCCGGAGGCTCCTGTGGGAGGGGGTTTGGGTCAGGCAGGGGCTGTGCAGGGTCAGCCCTGAGCAGCCCCAGCCCCCTGGGCTCAGCCCCAGCTCAGAGGGACACGAGGAGCACGCTGTTCTGGGCTCTGCTGGGACATCTGCACTGCATTACAGCCTGCTCAAAGAAATGCTGTCTACATTAAGTACAAGTATTTAATTAGCACTTCATTTAGAGCATGTGGTACAGCTCACAGCTCCAATTCAGGCCAGAGATGGTTTTCAGGGGTGGGTGGAAGCAGGGGGTGATGCCAGGAGAGCAGAGCAGCTCCCAGAGCCTGCAGGGACCTGCCCTGCCCTGGCACAGGAGAGCGAGCAGAGATCACAGGAGCCTCTGCCACGAGTCCTGAGCTCCCTTCCCTGCCCACCTGTGGCACTCCCAGCCCCAGGGAGGGAGGGAGGCTGTGCCTGCTCCTGGGGGAGCTGGA